TCATCGTGTGTAAAAGACTTTATTAGGTAGGTAAGCACATTCGATTCAATACTATAATGTAAAATGTTGTTCAGATCACGTTAATTTTTACTAAAACACACGTTACACCTACTATACGACAAGCAGTAGTCGACTTACCACAACTACCTAAGTTCACGCTACTAGGGCCTAGACGTTCGCATAAACAACACAGACAACTTCTCTAGTGTAAACTATATATTCTCGCGATAGAAAACAAAATTTCCGCAAAATATTAAACACGTTCGATCCAATACCATTATGTAAAGAACGTGTTTGGTTAGATCACTTTTTTTCATTTTTAATAACACGTGCACCTGCTACATTAACATGATAGAGGCCTAACCCTACCGACGATCCCGTAAACAATTGGTCAACTACACCAACAAGGTATGCATTATGGAGCTCGCTTACCCTCTCGCGATGAAAAACAAAATGGCGGCAAAGTTTTTCCGACGCATGCGCATATCGACATTTTCTCCTAAAAACGACTCAAAAATGGTGGTAGGGGGTATATGTTTTATCACGTACGTCCTACATTTCTCATCTAACATAAAAAACAAACAATTCTTGCACAACTACATGTCCACCAGTTACTATGAGGAAAACATTATATCCACCGCGAGGCACCGTTTAGGAGCCTATTCGTTTACAAACCCGCTGCTCACTTTGCTCACACACACACACACACACATACATTTCATGTTCGAATTATCCCATTAGTTCCTTGTGACCTTAAGGTCACAAAGGAACTAAAAAATGAGGCATGACGTGGCGAAATGGTTAAGTTGTCGCACAGGCCAGTATTGAGTAAATGAGCTATAAAATATGGGAGCTCAAAAAATTGCCCAAATATCCAAACTTGTTTTTCATTGTAGATCAACAGTTTAATGTCTTATTAATCATGTACCAAAGTATTAGTTCTTTAAGTGGTCAACAAATTGTTTAATTTTTTAATGTTATTTTGATAGTTAATTTTATTAAACAATGTATGCACAAATAACTTTGAAAGGCAATAACTCAAAATTATGTTTATCTTGATTCTAAGACTAGAGTACTGTATTTTCACTTTCCAATAACCTAGGCTTGAAATGTCCAATTTCAATGAATCACCCCTCATTTTAAAGATCACATACTCAGGTATCTGAAAATACCAATAACTTGAATTTCAATTTTTGCTACAACTTAGCCATTTTGCCACAACATGCCTCAAATGCGATAAACACAAAAAATCAATATTCAAAATAAAAAAATACTGTATTGCTAAGAAATAGTTCATGATTATAGAATTTAAATTTTATTTGTATTTGTATTAGATTTATTATATTATATACAATTTAAGAAAAATTGAGAAAATCTATCACAAAAAATAGATATATTATAATTTATTTATTTTACAATTTATTAAAATGATTTATTATGTTTTATACCAAGAAAAAATGAGGCATGACGTGGCGAAATGGTTAAGTTGTCGCACAGGCCAGTATTGAGTAAATGAGCTATATAATATGGGAGTTCAAAAAATTGCCCAAATATCCAAATTTTTTTTTTTTATTGTAGATCAACATTTTAATGTCTTATTAATCATGTACCAAAGTATTAGTTCTGGAAGTGGTCAACAAATTGTTTAATTTTTTAATGTTATTTTGATAGTTAATTTTATTAACAATGTATGCACAAATAACTTTGAAAGGCAATTACTCAAAATCATGTTTATCTTGATTCTAAGAGTACTGTATTTTCACTTTCCAATAACTTAGGCTTGAAATGTCCAATTTCAATGAATGACCCCTCATTTTAAAGACCACATACCCAGGTATCTGAAAATACCAATAACTTGAATTTCAATTTTTGCTACAACTTAGCCATTTTGCAACAACATGCCTCAAATGAGAAAATCTAACACAAAAAATCGATATTCAAAATAACAAAATACTGTATTGCTAAGAAATAGTTCATAATTATAAAATTTATAAGTTCATGATTATAGAATTTAAATTTTATTTGTCTTAGATTTATTATATTACTGTATATAAAATTTAAGAAAAATTGAGAAAATCTATCACAAAAAAAAGATATTCAAAATTTTGGGAAATCTGACACTAACGCTCAGAGCTTTCTTTCTTTAATCTTGGTCTGGTGCAAAGTGGTTGGAATACACTTTTTTTGAGGTGTTGAATTTAAATTCATTGAATAAAATTGATTTTACAAGAATCTTTTCATTTCATTGCTTTATTTCATCTGGACAATATATCAGAAGTACAGTATTATTGGCCGTATTCGACTGGTCATTCTTCGTTAAACTAAGCCCACCTGTGCAGTGGTAAAATCTTACAAAACGAAGACAGCCAGTCGAATAGAGAACTGGTAAATACTCGACAAAACTAAATGGCTGCATAGTTACCGCAATACACTCTGCATAATCAAGGCTGCTTCGGACAATTATTTTTTAACTTAATGCGGGTAAATATTATAATTTTTTTTTTTTTTTTTGGTCACATGGATAACTTAACGCTGATTAATGCATTCTGGTTACGCTAATTTTCGTTGTCAATGAAGTCTATTTTACGAACCAGTCGAATGAAAATAATACTCAACAAAAATTCGTATTCATCGAAAGTAACCAGTCGAATAAGCCCATTATGTTAAACATACAGTTTCATTTTCCACAAGGTCACATGTTCAATATATTTTTTTTCAAATCTCATTTTTTCCCTTTATATTTGAGGATAATAATGTCCCGGGTTCAATGTCGAAAGTTAATACATTGTGTTTCCACAATCTCATTGTTAACATTCAGAGTTGAATTTCTACCATGACAATGTGGATATTGTTGTCCTCAATGCCATGTCAAGGTGTCTACAGTATGCCTGGTAAATGTGTTTCCACAATTTTATTGTTAACATTCATTGTTGATTTTATACCTTGACAATGTGGATATTAGTGTCCCCAATGTCATGTCACGGTGTCTACAGTGTGACTGGTAAGTGGGTTTCCACAATCTCATTGTTAACATTCAGAATTGATTTTCTACAATGACAATGTGGATATTTTTGTCCCCAATGTCATGTCAAGGTGTCTACAGTGTGACTGGCAAGTGGGTTTCCACAATCTCATTGTTAACATTCAGAGCTGAATTTCTACTATGACAATGTGGATATTTTTGTCCCCAATGTCATGTCAAGGTGTCTACAGTGTGACTGGCAAGTGGGTTTCCACAATCTCATTGTTAACATTCAGAGCTGAATTTTTACTATGACAATGTGGATATTATTGTCCCCAGTTTCATGTCAAGGTGTCTACAGTGTGACTGGTAATTGGGTTTCCACAACTTTTTGTTAACATTCAGAGTTGAATTTCTACCACGACAATGTGAATATTGTTGTCAATAATGTATATATGACAAGATGTCTACAGTGTGACTGGTAAGTGGGTTTCCACAATCTCATTGTTAACATACAGAGTTGATATTCTACCATGCCAATGTGGATATTGTTGTCCACAATGTCATTTCAAGGTGTATACAGTATGCCTGGTAAGTGGGTTTCCACAATCTCATTGTTAACATTCAGAGTTGATTTTCTACCATGACAATGTGGATATTGTTGTCCCCAATGTCATGTCAAGGTGTCTACAGTGTGCCTGTTAGTGTGTTTCCACAATCTCATTGTTAACAATCAGAGTTGATTTTCTACCATGACAATGTGGATATTATTGTCCACAATGTCATGTCAAGGTGTCTACAATGTGACTGGTAATTGGGTTTGCACAACTTCATTGTTAACATTCAGAGTTGATTTTCTACCATGCTAATGTGGATATTGTTGTCCCCAATGTTATGTCAAGGCGTATACAGTATGCCTGGTAAGATGTTTCCACAAACTCATTGTTAACATTCATTGTTGATTTTCTACCATGACAATGTGGATATTATTGTCCCCAATGTCATGTCAAGGTGTCTACAATGTGACTGGTAAGTGTGTTTCCACAATCTCATTGTTAACATTCAGAGTTGATTTTCAACCATGACAATGTGGATATTGTTGTCCCCAATGCCATGTCAAGGTGTCTACAGTGTGCCTTGTAAGTGTGTTTCCACAATCTCATTGTTAACATTCAGAGTTGAATTTCTACCATGACAATGTGGATATTATTGTCCCCATGTCATGTCAAGGTGACTATTGTTTGTATATAAAGTATGCTTCCTCAATTTCATTGTTATCATTCAAAGTTGATTTTCTACCATGATATTGAGGACAAGCAGCACATGTAAATGTAATTTTGTGTGTGAATGGTATGTGTATCCCCAGTTTCATATGTAATTTCCACACATTGATAAAACTCAAAATTTAATAAAATTTGCATAAATTGTGTTTGAGTACTTTGTAATTGGTGGAAAATCACAAAAAATATGATTAATAAATAATTAATGAAGATGTCCACATTGTCATGGGACTGTGTTGATATCCCCGATTGACGGAATTTACGAGTATGTGTGTGTGTGTGTGTATGTATGTATATATTAATAACCATTACAATGAGAATACGATACTTGGTGGGTATATAAAACATAAAAAAACCAGGGGGCGGATTTATCAAACTTGCTAAGCAAGAAAATTTGCTTAAATTCGTCTTAAATCCATTTTTTTGCTTAAGTCAGATTTATCAATATTGCTTAGCTTAGAAATTGCTTAAAATTTGCTTAAATTCATCTTAACTTTAAGATGAAAACATACCTGCCTTAAGACGAAAATTTTCGTCTTATCTCATGTAACTAGAGGCAGTTCAGCAACTGCAAGTGCGAGCACGCTAGGCCAACAAACTGAAAGCTGATCTGCGCGCCGCTAACGCAATTTCCCCGATGGACGCCAACGAAGAACTAGGCTTAGAGGAAGAAGTCGGGCTAGGTCTAGGCCTAGTAGTAGAAGTCCGAAGAAAGGAACGCCTATTCAGGGACAGATGTAATCCTTTTGACTGTCCAGAGGATACATTCAGGCAGTTGTACAGACTACCAAAATTGTCTGTATTGGACATATGCCATGAAATCGGTCCATTTTTAAGACGGCAAACAAAACGATCACAAGCCGTTCAAGTCCCCTTGCAAATTTGCATCACATTGAACTTTTTCGCAAGTGGGACCTTCCAGTATGTGCTCGGGCAGAGTTTTGGGCTGTCGCAGCCAACCGTTAGTCAGGTTATTAAACATGTTACCAGATCAATTATCCGTTCCATGAACAGACATATCACTTTCCCAATGGATCGGGAAAGTCAAATACTAATACAACAACAATTTTTCAGGAAGTTCCAATTTCCACGTATCATTGGGGCCATAGACGGCACCCATGTAGCAATAAAGGCCCCATCTGTTGACGAGCATGTATACGTGAACAGAAAATCATACCATTCAATAAACGTTCAAGCCATATGTGACAGCAACTTGAAATTCCTAGATGTTGTTGCAAAATATCCAGGCAGTTGCCACGACTCTTTCATTCTCTCTAACTCCACAATCGGCCAACGCTTCCAAGATGGTCTAATCCCCAACGGCCTCCTGATAGGTATGTTAACTTTAAAAAGTTTGTATATCCAGTGCATGTCATTTACAGTAATTAGCATAATCCTGAATAGAGGGCTCACTGTATCAGTTTACAGTTTGTGGTTCTCACTTTTTAGACAGAGGCACACACAAAATAGTGGTGCGTCCATCACATACGAATTACATGTGAGAAAAACGAACTGAACAGTTAAATTAATACATAGCTTACTTTATAACATCAACATAATATAATATTATTAATGATTATTATTATTATTAATATTATATTAATAATTATTATAATTCTAATAATAATAATAATAATAATAATAGTAATAATAATAATAATACCATGTATTAATATTAATAAAATAGAAAAAGAAATTGAAGATTGTTTTGTTAAATTAAAATGGATTAGAGGAAAGATTATACTGTCATTGCCTTATAATAGTTTTGGGTGATTTAAGTAGATCAAAATCAAACATGTTTTAATGCTTTACAAGACATCTTCTATTCATAAGCACTGAAGAAGAGAATTCACAATTTTGTTTTTAGATTGGAATGAATATTGTAAATCTGTAACATCTTTTTTTTTTACTTTGGTAATTATATAGGTGACAGTGGATATCCTTTACGTGAATGGTTGATGGTGCCTATAAACAACCCTACTACAGAAGATGAACGCAACTACAATGATATGCATGCAAGTGCAAGAAATGTTATCAAACACTGTTTTGGAGTAATGAAGAGTCGCTTCCGCTGTATTCATCGCTCTGGTGGTAATTTACAGTACTCACCAAAACGATGTTGTGAAATTATCATGGCTGTTGCTATATTACACAACATGACCATCCACATTCCATTACTACCAGAAGAGGAGATAGAAATCGATTTGGTTGAGGATGATGCCAGACAACCTCAACATGTTGCAGGTGCCAATGCAGCACGCCAAGAACTAATACGACAACTGGCACAATAAAGAATTTATTCATTGAACAGATTTTGAAATGGATCAAGAATAAATAATATACAAATCTTAAAACATAAATTCAAAAATAAATTAAATTAATTGGATTTTAAACTTCAATCAATATGATTCAAGAATCTTAGTGTCATTTTGGAAAATCAGTTAAACCATAAAATTACAAAAAAATTTATTAGCACTCATTCCAGTGAGCATGGAAGGTCTATCAAACATTTTTTTTTTGAGGTCACAACTTTTGTACAGCAGTATATACACTGTATTCATTCCCTGGGTGGCGTTTATTTTTGGGGGGGTTTAAAATTGATACAATAAATAACTTTTAAAAATTATTAAAATTGTGGAGTCATGAAGAACAGCTTCCGATGCATACATTGCAATGGAGAAAGTAAAGAGATAATGCGACTATTGACTCAGCGAAGAACCTATATAATTGTTTCACTAATAGTTAAAAAAAAACATTTATTGTCATGTCAGAGTTATACAATGGCTTAATTACTGAATGTATTTTGGATGTTCACAATATAAACAACATTAAATAAGTTCTTCAGTGGATCAATATTTCTTTTCAATAGAAAGAATCAATCAATACTATCTTCTCACAATTCAATAAAATTTATTAATATAAGTCCAATTCAACTCCCAATATACTGTATAATATTATCCATCTATTTGTTAATATTTTTAAATAATATACATATTTAGGCAAGACTTTTTATACCTCGTTTTGAATTTACAATAAAAGGGTGGGAAAATTAATCGATATAAATATTAACTAAATTAACAATTGCATTGCACAATAAATCATCATCAATATAAATAATTTTAATGGAGTTTGGATTGCACTTTGATAAATCATCATTAATATTTAATAATTTATGATCAATACTTAATCATTTCCTTTGAGTTGTCAATCAATTTTGATTTATATTATACTTTATTAAGAATATTAACTATTTTGCATCGAATCTTTAATAAATTATCATCAATATATAAACATTTCATTTGAGTTGTCAATAAATTTGAATTGCACATTGTCATCAATATTAATCATTTACCATATATAAACTACCTGAGATCTGCCAACTTTGACTTTGAGTTTATCAAGCCAGAATAGACCGAATTAAGAATCGACGATGTTCAGCTATTAGTGGGTATTCGAACTAAAACAAACGCACGAAGATAGGCAATTTACACAGTAATTTAAGAAAATAGCATTTACTAAAACGTCTCATACACGCTTTGTGTGTAAAGTTGAGCGATTGTGTATGCCAAATGTAAAATATAACGAGAATAAATCATACTATTTTAGGGCCTGTGTTACAGCACGACGACGACAGACGTGTATTCACTTACAGTGAATCATGGTGTCAGTCAATGAATGTGTTTGTTGCAAAAATCATGAAATGTGTTGTACTTGCAGATTTCAAGGAGAGATAAGTTATTCAAAATTATTGAATAATGTTCCTAAATTCACACCAATAACTTTGGCAGACTGGATGTCTAAACAAGTAAAAGAAACTGTCAGGAAATCGTGGCGAGGCCTCACGCAATCATCACATCCAGCCATGTCGCGTTGTCATACAACAAATGTCAGGGGCCGAGGCCTAGCCTGTAAAAACTCTATGTATATTTAACTTAATTTTACATGAAAATCAAATCAAACGTCTTTTGATGGCTCTATGAACCTTCCTTAACCTACCAATGTTTTAAAAAGTATCTTACCTGCGTACTTTGGTTTTTTTGCTTGTTTTCCAGGGGGCGGATTTATCAAACTTGCTAAGCAAGAAATTTTGCTTAAATTCGTCTTAAATCCATTTTTTTGCTTAAGTCAGATTTATCAATATTGCTTAGCTTAGAAATTGTCTTAACTTTAAGATGAAAACATACCTGCCTTAAGACGAAAATTTTCGTCTTATCTCATTCAAAGGCTGCCGCCTCAGATTTTGCAAGTGCGAGCGCACTAGGCCAAATATTTAATCTTAATTAAGCGGACGCCGGCGCAGTCTGCCCCTGTTGCGCGATGGACGCTGACAGTGCAATAGTACATAGTTAGCCTAGGAGTTACACGAAACAAAAACGCATTTTTCGGGATATATGGAACCATTAAACTGTCGAAATATTATTTTTAGGCAACTATAAAGTTTACAAATAGTTGCTATAATAATTATTTGCCGAGTATTGCGTTCTATTCATTCAGAAAAACACAAAACGTCGTCAAACTTTTCGTAGCCTCACCGAGTGATAAACAGAAAATTCACAGGCCGATACGAGGCCCGTCATACCGGCGGTGTCCTCGCACGTACTCTAGGGCCTAGGCCGGCCTAATTGTAACCCACCCTAAACGTCAAATAAGGAACTATTTAGGGTTTCTGTCAGAGGCTTTACGGTATTGCTAAAAGAGGTTTGTTGATAGTTATGTTTATTGTAACTCGCTAGGCCTAACTAATTAAACTATTAGGCCCTACCTACGTACTAGGCCTAGTAGTAGAGTATTTGTTGTGTAACCAACTCAGCTGCAGCCTGGCCAGTAGTACAGTAGTAGGGCCCCATTTGTATAGAGGGTACCTAGCCTAGGCCTATCCCATTTATTTATGTACAGCATGGCATGCAGTGCACTAAACAAAAAAATATATATATTATAAAAGCATAGAGTGTGGATCAATTATGCCAAAAAAAAAAATCAATTGTTTGTTTGCCCGTCCATTTTTGAAAATAATTATGATATAGGGGTAGGCGGAAATTTTTTAAAAATTTATTTATTATTTTTAAGATACTCATCAGATGGATTAAAAATAACCCACAGAGGTCATCCATGCTAATAAAAAATCAACTTTCAAATCAGCTCTAGATAGGTATTAGCAAACTTAAACCAAATAAATAAAATAAATAAAACTTCCTCAACTATATATGAAATAAACTATAATAAACTTGAGCAACATGTTGCACACAAGCAGCAAAACACATTTAAGAAAGTGCTGAAGTTACCAGCAATGTCCTTTGGCCTTACACAAAGCCACCAAAGTCTTTCTTCATTTTGCAATTACTTATAATTTTTATTAAAAAACATAGTTTTACAAGGATACAATACAAAGATACTTTATTCATCCCGCTACGGGAACATTTCATGGCTGGATACAACAAAGTGAAAAAAGCATAAGACAATTTACTAATAGTGATAATAATAATAATATTAGTATAGTAATAATAAAACTATTAATAATAATAATAGTTATGATAGTTTTGGCCTACACACAGCACCACTCGTTCATATTATTCAGTGGAGATTTTGTTGACATTAATTAGCAAAACAGAAATTTGACTTGCCAAAACAATGAATATAAGCAGCAAAAGTTTCAATTCCATCAGCTTTATGGTTTATAAAAAATATATTTAGCAAAATTCAGCTTTTATTAGGATTTGGCTTTTTGGCTAATAACAGCTACACTTCCCACACTTGATTGAAAAATTTAACACAATTATAATGTACAACATACTATAACAGTAAAAACAAAAATAATTAAATTTATGCTACCCACCATATGAACCACAGTTGTTTTAAAATATGAAATACAATACGATACATAACAAATAAAGGACTCCAAACACCATTCATTATTACAATCATTAGTGTTTATTACACTTTTCTTCACAATTTTATATCTATTGTACTGATACTTGGTAGCTTATTGCTTTTGAAATGAATATGAGAAGATTTCATGAGACACTTGGCACAACAATAAATATAGATCTACTGTATATGTGCTTTTACACAGCAAAGAGCAATATATATTTAATGTGAGAAATTAATCTTGTGATTTACCTAATATATAAAATGTATATTATTACTTTACACCATGCAAATATCATTGGTATCATAAGCATTTTTTTCAGATGTCATCAGCGCTTTGAAATCGCAAGGTATAAACAAATAATTATTCAATAGTGAGCTCCTTCGAATACTTAAATATGGTTGAATCCTTGAAGCTGGCGGAAGAGGACGTCACTAGCCCCTGGGTCTGAGGTGTTGGTTTTGAATCTGTAGTAGGCCTGAAAGCTTCTATAATGCTCTACGAATTGGCTGTTTCAAAAAAATACATTGAGATTAATTTAAAGTTATTGTAAGAATACTGTATCATATGCACTTTTTATGTATTCACTGAAATGGCATACATTTTGATTCCATAGTGAGCATCAGTGGTCAATAATATTAATAATTTAATTCCATCTATTCCACTAAAAAACAAATGCTGAAACCTATGAGTCTGTATACAGATTCCGGTAAGGCGAGACTTTTTAATTTTTGTTTTGCGCAATGAATTTTTTATACAGTAGATCATTGGAGAGGGCAGAATAAAAATAAAATTTTGTTTTCTTATTTAGCAAATAGTTTTGCTAAAAACTTAGCTGGAGTAGAAAATAAAAATAAAATGTTATTAAAATAAAAATAAAATTTTATTGGTGAATGTAAAATAGGATGGTTAGATGCTTCAAATTTATATAATTAGGAAGAAATATACATATCTTATCTTTGGAGATTTCAAGGCAGTGGAGGGCATAATAAAAATAAAGAAAACTTCTATTTTTTTTCTGAAATTTCCATTTTTCGTGGAGGTGGGTGCGCTAATTGGCAAAAAATATAATTTTAATTTTATTCGAAATCATCAATATTTGCGTTAGGTGGGTTCACTAAAGAAGGTATAAAAAAGTCTTGCCTAACTAACAACTACAAACATAACGGATACAGACATTGTCCTTCTAACTCTTAATATAAGGGTTAATCAAGGAGCCAAGCGATTGGACACTTGCCGGTCTTGAACCGGGGTCCTCAGCACAAGAAGCAGGAACAAATACCTCTCGGCCAACTACGCAGATGGTGCATTTATATTTGTACACCCTTACATTTAGATTGGATAATAATTAAATCCCCTAAAAGTAAAACATTGCCTACCTATTACAGGTACTGAACTTATAGTAGTTCAGATTTGCCCACTGCATTTCACAACCTGGTTTTGCTGCAATTGACTTTAATCTATTTTGCTGCACTGTGACACATCATGGGTAAATTTCTGTACAGTATAATAAAAAAGCTGATTATGGGTTTTGTGTACAGAATATTGTGTTTCAATCAGGTCATTCTATTCATAGAAGCAACATTTAAAGGAAAAATTGTGCCTTTAATTAGTTACTATATTGTGTAGCAATGCCAGAAGCTATAAAATTGGTTGAAAATTGAACCAATATAGTGTAATAGG